CACTTGATCCAGGTAATTAAAAGTGTCAGCTTCTTATCCAGGAGAGGGTCCTATTAAATTATGTACAGTAAATATTTTTGCAAGTTGGAGCTCTGGAGAAGACTTATTGATCTGTGGCAAGCTGCCAGGCAGCTGGTAAAGATTTGGAAAATGGTTCTGAATCCAGGGCAGGTCCTAGGAGGTGTGAGGATGCAAACAGTCTGGAGGCTCTTTGGTTTCACCTGTATCTCAGCCTCCTATGAGGAGCCTGCAGTTTCTTCTAGGGCTGCTGAATCAATAGCAGACAATGGCATGAACTGCTTGGTTAGTGCAGCCTCGGTGACTGATGCGAGCCACATCAGCACCCCTGCTTAGGAGGGGCGGCCTGGAGAAGGGAGGGATATTGATGACAGACTGAGAGTCTGATCCAGCTGGAGTGGCAGGTGGCACTGCTGGAAGGTGGGTGGAGGGGACAATGCCGCCTGGACCCTTAGCTCAGCCCTGCCCTCCAGTAGCTCCCGAGAGCGTACGGGAGTCCGTACCTAGCTAGTCCTCTGTGCCGGAGTCCGTATCTGCCCTTCCTCCTTCCTTCGGCCTCAGCGCCTGGCTCTGCCCTGCGGATGCTGGAATGGCATTTGCCGACTGACATATATAGTCAGTCGAGTCTCGAGAACAGAGATGGGAGGTGGGGGCAGGCGTGACCAGGAGATCTTTTCTTGTAGTTTTGGTTCTGTGCAACTGGACAGGCACCCCGAGGAGGAGCCAGGGGTGACAGCTGAGGGGGTTGCCCCAATGTCCAGCCCTCCTAGACCTCCTGCTAGCTAAAGTGTCCTGTTCGTGGTCTGTCTCTTCCTCTCTGTCTTCTTCGCGGCAGTATTCCCAGTTCTCAGAATACTTCCTGGCACATGGTAGGTGCTCAGTAAATGTTTGTTGAGTGAATGAACGAGTCCTTTCCTCTTCGCCTTGATTCAGTAATCCTGCGACGGTTCCTAGGGCTCAGGCAGAGGGTGGGTGGGGAAAGGGCTCTGCTTGGAGCGTTTGGAAAGTCGCATGGACCCCACATGCTGAGGGGTGCACCTAGAGTCCAGGTGCCTCCCATCACCCGGAAACGCCTGGTGGCTGGGCTGTAGGGCAGAAGGAGCAACTAGAAACAAAGGGACAGGTGGTCAAGGAAAGACAGAGTTGAAAGCAGGTCCATGGGTAACGTGCACGATGACCCTTCTTTCTCCAGTCCCAGCCTCCCGCCCCTTCTGCCTGGCAGCTCCTAGCCTCCCTCCTCCCCTTCCTCCTCCCCTCCCTCTCACCAGTGATCCCGGCGTGTCTGTGGGGATCTGGCACATTGGAGGCAGGTTCTTGGGCCCCCTTAGCTGTCTTCCTGATGCCTGGCATTTTGCAGATCTGCGGTTCATTTGCACGTTCAGTGGTTATGGAAGAATAGGAGACGGGAACCCACAAATAGACAGTTTTGCTGCTCATTAGTAAGTTCCGTCGGGAGGAGAAGCCATCTAACAGTGGTGATCTGGAGAGCGGTTTGGGATTGCTCTTTAAAACCCCTTTAAGCGTCTCCTCGCCTCCCCTCTCCCCGTTAGCACAGCACGATGGGACGTCGTCTGCCTTACAGGTGTGTCCAGAGCGGAGACACGCGGGGGTCCTGTCAGGCCAGTTTGGCATTTCCGGGGAGCAGTCTGAGTCACATGTTAGAGAGAGGGCAGGGAAGACGGTGCGCGTGTGCATGTGTGAACCTAGATGCTTCTGAGGCCCGTTATTTTTTCTTAAATCTGAGGAAACTTGCCAATTTTCCTCCCAGCGTCTCTGGGAAAAGGGAGCCCCACTCTGTGCTGCGAGTTTAGCTCTCTATGCAGGGAGCCATCTCTCTGCTGTTTAAAGAGAGCTTTACGCTTCGCAGCTTTAGATCATGTCACGCGATGAAACACCATCGCACTACTGACAATTGTAATTTAAAATGTTTGACGGTCTTTTCAACTGAAAAAGAGTAGTAATCATCACTTGCCAGACTTGGAGAGCGGCTGTTACTGAGCCAACGGGAGGGAGCCGGTGCCCCCCGGGGGCGGCGCTGCTTCGTTTGCTCCTCTACCTCGTCCTCGCTGTCTCTTCACCCTCCTCGGCTGCTGTCTGCCTCCGGGTCCCACCGGGTCCCACCACCACGGTCACACCACTGTCACCACCCGTGCACAGCTGGCGTTCTCCTCCTGGGCCCCTGGCCTCCTGGCTGCCCGCCTCCGTTCCTTCCTCTGTTCAGAGCCAGGAATCTGAATCCTGGCCCGCGGGCTTCACTGGAAGGGCCGGGCCTTGAGAAGTGCTGAGCTTCAGACTCGCTGGCCAAGAGGAGACTGTTAGTTGAATGACACAAGTCTGGGTTCACCACTGTCCATTGTGTGGCTTCAGGCACTTCCTGAGCTGTTGTGAGTCTCTGTTTTCTCATCTGTAAAATGAGACTAGAAATGCCTTCCTGTTTGGGCTGTTGCGAGTTTTAAAGTCAGTGTCGTAACATCCCCTACATAAGGACTGTATCAGTTAGTTTCCGTTTCATCATGAGGATGATGTCTGCGGGACAGTGTATTTCAAAAATAGTGCAAGTTGTATAAATGCGTGGTTTTACTATTCTACTCTCTTGCTCAGTGAAACCACATATCCTGAAATTCTCAATACCGTTGCTGCTACCATCATCATCAACACCGCCATCACCATCAACACTGCCATCACCACCATCACCACCTCCACCATCATCACTATCATCACCATCATCACCACCTCCACCACCATCACCACCTCCACCATCAACACCACCTCCACCATCAACACCGCCATCACCATCTTCACCACCTCCACCATCATCACCATCATCACCATCTTCACCACCTCCGCCATCATCACCATCATCACCACCTCCGCCATCATCACCACCTCCACCACCATCACCACCTCCACCACCTCCACCACCATCACCACCTCCATCACCATCACCACCTCCGCCATCATCACCATCATCACCACCTCCGCCATCATCACTATCATCACCACCTCCGCCATCATCACCATCATTACCACCTCCGCCATCATCACCATCAACACCACCTCTGCCATCAACACCACCATCACCATCATCACCACCTCCACCATCATCGCCATCATCACCACCTCCACCACTGCCCCACTGCCATCACTGAAACCAGCAGCAAGAAACTCTTATTGGACTTACTTGCCAAGCACTATTGTGCTTTGCATTTATCTACTCACTTAATTCTCATAAAAACTCTGGGACATCCTTAAGTATCATCAGCCTCATTTTCAGTGTTATTACCCTGATAATATATGACGAATCTAAGTCCCAGAGATATCCAGTAATTTTCCCACAGTCATAGAGTTAATAAGTCATGATGGAGCCTGTTTTCTGTCTGTATTTTTGGCTACTTCTTTCAGGTTATTCATGCGTGTGCTTTGGTAACTGCGTGTCTGTGGATACATGTGTTTTTACATGGGTTGGTGCACACTTTGTCATTTTGATAACAAGGAGGCCATGCTGGCTTTATTAAAGACTTTAAGTTCATTCCCAACAGTAGAGGTAGAAAATTTTTGAGAGGCATCCAACAGATACCGCAAGATGTTTTGGTATTTTTAAAAGCAAGGTTGTTTTGGAAATTCTGGCTAGAAATTAATTAAAGTAATAAAAGTGTAAGACAGGGGAAGAAAAGTAGTGTTTTGGTGACGATGCAGTTAAAACCTTCACTAGCAACCTTATTTTGTTTAAAAGTGGTTATAATCAGTGGGGAAATGCAGTGAGTCAGTCAACTACATAACTGAGCTTTCTCTCAACATTTCCTGTTATTCTCTCCCAACTTTGTTTTCTTCCCTAGAAATCAAGGGAGCATGTGAAAGTAGTCTTTGGGGTTCAGGTTGGAGGGCACCGTCGTCCCGGCCGGAAACATCTCATTGAGATCGTTAATAACGGAAACTGCGGGAACCTTAGAGCACCTCCTTCTAGTTGACGTTGGACAACAACTGAAGGAAGGCAGAGGGTGGCATCTATTTTCTCACGTTATTTAGAGCAAAAGAAAATGAGAAAGAGGATCTTTTCTCAGTGATTCGAGCGCCAGTGCCGCACTGCCCATGAGGTCCGGACGGCCTGACGGTGAGCGCGTCCGTGACGTCTGACACTTCAGGAGTTTCCGGCAGAGCAGGGACCAAACTCTCACCCTGGCCAGCTGCCAGCCTTGTGGCCGTGGTCTGTGGCGAGTGCACGGGGTGACCGGCTGGTTCTCCCAGCCCTCAGACCCAGTCCTGGCTGGGCAGCGGTGACATTGCCACACACGAAGTCCCAGTACAGTCCCACCTCTTCTGATTGCGCCTCGCCCTATTGCAGGACGTGGATGTTGCGTTTTTACAAATCGAAGGCGGGACCCTCCACCAGCAGAGAGATTATGACTCGCTCCACTGAGACCCTCGCTTTTCGGCGGTGGCCTGGAGCTGCGCCCCCAGTATCTCCGAGGTGTGCCTGTGTATTTTAGAAACAAGTTCTCGGATTTTGGAAGCATGTTTGCTTTGGGGGCGTTTGTCACGCATTGCATATAGTTGTGCGTTGAGGGCTTATCTCAATGGTAGGAAGCTGATGCTATCTGTTAAAATGTAAATAGTTATTTCAAAAAAGTATAAGGACTTCCACGACAAGTGTCAGAGAGAGAAGACGGTTGTGTGCCGGAGGGCGGGGACTGTGGCTTTAACACATAGATGTGCATTGCGAAACCCTGAGTGGGCCGGTTCCTTCAGACCCAGACTGGGGGAGGCCGTAGCAACCCTCCGGGCCATCTGTTTTCTCTTTGGCCCTCGGGAGTGGAGGGATGCTCCTTCCAAGGGCAGGGGTCCAAGTCGGGGAGGAATCGCTTCGACGTGGCAGCCTTGCACAGCCGGGGCAGGTTAGGGCAGCTGTCTCCAGAGGAATTCGGTCGCCAGATGGGGAGAGAAGGCAGTGTGTGTCAGGGTGCAGTCACAGGGCGTCCAGGGCCATGCAGGCGGAGGGCGGGGAGTTCGTCAGCGCCTGGGAAACCAGCCGCTGCAGGAAGGACGGAATTCAGAAGTCAGGCCACGTCGAAGGTCAGAAACCGAGATGTACTCAGCGACAGGTCTCGTGAAAAGGGTTACAGTGGGGGTGGACACAGTGATGGCTCCCAGGCTGTCCGTGTCCTAATGTCTAAACATTACAGATGTGATTAAGGACCTTCATCAGGAAGATCACACAAAGGTCCTTATGGAAGGGAGGCAGGAGGGCCAGAATCGGAGGGAGGTTTGGGATGCTGCACGGTTGACTTTGAAGATGGAGGAAGAGGCCGTGAATCAAGGTGTGCAGGCCACTTCCGGCAGCTGGAAACGGCAGACTCTCCCCAAGAGCCTCCAGCAGAAGCCAGCCCTGCTGGCACTTTGATTTCAGCCCAGTGGAACCCACTGTGGACTCTTGACTCACACAACTACGAGACAGTAGGTCTGTGTCGTTTTAAGCCACTGAATCTGTGGTGATTTGTTATAGCAGCAACAGGGAACTAGTATCTCATTCTATTAAGAACCTGCTTTAGAAATTTCACCTGTAATTCCCGTTATTATACTTTGGTATGTAGAGTTATATCGGTAACATTTAAATAAGGATTTATGTTTTTTAAAGGAGTGAAATCATGCTTATTTCACTCTTAGTTAAAACTCATTGAATGATGTGTTCTTCTCAGAGGACCCTAATTGTGGCCATACCAGCGCCTGTTGGTTGCACAGTCTTCACTTCAGAAAAATATCTAAGGAAAGCACAAAACTTGCAGGGAGCATTGCAACAGGAAAACACTAAAGTTATAAAGCGAAAGCAAATATCATCCTGACATGAAACTCTGCCTAATAGATTGGCGGGTCACTGAATACTGCATACTGTTATTTCTACAAGATCATTTGCTGCCCCTCAGTTTTTCAATATTATTCAAATTATGTATCTCTCTGCTCTCCAGTACGTGGCTAAAGATGAAACTCACTGCTCCCTTCCTCCAAATCAAGAAGGAAGACAAGCCCTAAGAAAACCACTAGCAGCCAAAAAATATTGGGTGAGGTCAACACAGAGAAACAAGTACGCACCTTCATGACAAATCCACATGTCAGCATCAATAAGAAGGAAATGAATCCTCTACTTTCTTCCCAAACCAGGGCCGGCTTTGACTCCGTTTGGAGTTCTCTGTGTACAAGCTGGAGAGAAGGAGGCAAACTGCATGCTGGCTGTTGTTGCTATGGGAACTGGCAGAGACAAAAGACCACAAAAATGAAGGAATAAGATGACATCTAAGGATTAAAAAACAAGACGAAATGGGGGTTTCTTTCTTTTCCTCTCCCCCACTTTACTGCATTAACTCATTAAGCGCCATGGTTAGAGAGGCCAGAGGCGCGGGGAGGCAGAAATGCAGGAGGAAAAGGGACAGGGTTTTGCCTCTGTCTTGTCACTTGTTTTAACTGCATAATCCAGAGTTTTTCTCTTGAATTGCTCATCATCTCGCCTCATAAGTCTGAAGGTGGCACGCAGATGTCTCATTTCTAAGGAAAACGGGACTAGTTCAGCTACCCGAGAGGAAGACTTTTCTAAGTGGACTGACCGCCTTCTGATTGGGGTGCCCTCATCTCTAGGGGTTGGAGGGCGGCTGTGTGCAGGCACCGAGAGGTGGGCAGAGTGACCACCAGGTCCCTGCCAGCTCTCAAGTCTGCTGGTTCAGTGATTAATTGTTCTAGTCATTCAACCTAGGGAAAATAGGACTTGATCTCAGAGGCACCTCCTTCCATCTAGGACAAAAAGGAAAAAATGATTGCAAAGCTCCTGTCCTGAGAAGCTCCAGAGTCTGTCTCTGGGTTTCCCCAGCCCCATTCTACCACAAACTGAGACATTTCCTACCCTTTGGAAATTCCAGTGACTTTTTGTCTCTCCAGAAACTAGTCTTGACTTTTCTAGTGTCTCATAGTAAAAATTTACAAGTCGCCTCAAAAATACGACTTAAAAACAAACAATAGTCGAATGAAAGAGGAATAAGAGACTTTCTGGTGTCGTTGGTTCCAACCTTCCCGGTATGGGATGAGTGAACTATTAAGCCAGTGACAGGAGCCTGCTCCTTGTATAAACGCTCCCTTATCCTTGTGATAAAGCCCCCTCTTCTGAGCTTAGGGTGGTGCTCCTTGAGCTGGCCGCCTAGCCCCTTCCTTGATAAGGAATCTCTTTAGGGCGGGTTTAAGTTAATCTTCCTCTTTTGGACGGAGAGCAGAACAAACAAAACTTTAAGCAAAACTCTTCTCACCTGTGGACGACTCTGCCATTCCTGTTTTTCTCCATTTGCGTTTCTGCAGTCGGTGAGCTGTGAAAACTGACCATCTCGCGTGGCATGAGTCTCCCGTTTCTCCCAGCTTGACTGACTCTTCTGCTCATCCGAGTAGGTTCTTCATGCGCAGGGTGTTTGTCATGCACACAGTCTGCCTTGATGGAACGCCAAGGTCATTTTGTCTGTCATTGCTCACGTCCAGCCACTCCTCTGAAACACATCCTATACCTTCTGGTTCTCAGGCTTTAGCTGCACCAGAATCACCTGCAAGGCTTGTTAGAACGCAGATACCCGGCGCAGGCCCAAGGTTTCTGACTCAGTAGGTCTGGGCTGAGGCCTGAGAATGTGCCTTTCTAACAAGTTCCCAGGTGATGCTGATCCTGCCGGTCCGGGAAGCACGCTCTGAGAACCACTGCCCTACCCCGTTCTCACATCACTGGACCACGTAGGCCCCTCGAGGAGTCTGATTCATCCCTGTCCCACTGACACCTTGCATTGCATCTGACAAGGCCACACACATTAAATGTGTGTTATGCTGAATTGAACAAATAAAACGAGACACCTCTGCGATCTCCAACTAGTCCTTGGATTCTGACTGAGTTTTTAGAGCCAGAGGCCTGGTTTGCACTCCCCAGATCCAGCTCTGGCCTATTGTTGGACTCATGTGCAACCACAGAATCTAAGGCCAGATGGGTGCCCGGGCCGGTGACCTTCTCACAGCTGCCCAGCTCAGAATCAGGCTTGATATGGACACAGCTGTGATGGGAAAACTTCCTTAAACCTCTGGACTCCTGCCTGTTCTGTAGAGATAACTGTGGGGCCGGCGGCCCAAGCCACTGACTCCTGCCACACCGAGTGTCCATGATCTTGGCCTGTGAGCTCCAAACCTCCTTGGGAGCAAAGTAAAGCTACGTAGTCATACTACAGGGGGTAAGGCAGTTTAATATAAGTTTGGAAATACAGATTATATTGGCCCCTGACTATATGCTGATCTAAATTTCTATTCTGTGGTGTTAACATGTAGCTGACATCGCCCAAAAGTGACCATATCAGCAGCAGCAGCAGCAGATTATCTCGTTCAACCTTCTATGCTGTAAAGCTTTGTAAGTTCCATTGCACGGACCAGGACACTGAGGGCTGGAATGGTTAAGTACCTCACCTGTGGTCACAGAGATGGAAGTGCATGTCTCCGGTATCTCAGACTTCAGGGCCCAAGCTCTGAACCCCTGGTCCTGCGGCTCATCAGTCACTAAACTCCAGGTGGTGTTTTAAGGGATCCCACTTATATCGAATTCTACTCTATAATGGAGAGTCAGGATAAGTTCCCAACATATTTTAGAAATTTCTTTTTTACTTAGAAAAATTTTAAATGTGACTTAAACATTTTTCTAAGCCACGGATTTTTTTTTTTTAAAGTCAAATAGCTCTTTGAAGGAAGGCCAATATGTAAAACTAATAAAGATGGACCAAGAAGGCCCAGCATCCCATTCTCTCAGGTCCCTAGAGATTCACAGATTGGTTTGAAAACCACCGGAGAGTGTAAGATTTTAGAACTTTGGGAATCAGAAGACCTGGCTTTAAGCCATGACTCTGCCACTAGCTGGCTGTGAGACCTAGAGTAAGTCAGCAAACTCTCTAGTGGTCTTGGTTGTAAAGTTACAGAGATGGACGAGGGCCCTACCACATCTCCGACTATGACCCATTTGGTGATTAATGAACTTGAACTAATGGCTAACAAAATACAGTAAAGAAATAGGCTCTCCTCTTATGAAGAGGTTAAAGCTAGTCATAATTAGCACATTGCATAGAAACGTGTTAGGAAAAGAACTTGGAAAGAAATTATGTCCTAAAGCAGGGGTCCCCAACACCCACATTGCAGATCGGTACCAGTCAGTGGCCTGTTAGGAACCCGGGCACACAGCAGGAGGTGAGCAGTGGGCCAGTGAGCGAAGCTTCATCTGTATCTGCGTCCGCTCCCCAGCGCCAGCATCACTGCCTCGGCTCCACTTTAGATCCTCAGGCATTAGATTCTCACAGGAGCACCAGTCCCTGGTGCCAAAAAGGTTGAAGACCACTGTGCTAAAGTAAACAGTTGCAGATGCACTCTCATTTCTGTTAGTACTTTGCCTACGATCCCTCTTCCCACCCATTTTCCACTGATAGATAGAAGACAGCTACAGTTCAGCCTACCCCTCCCTGCTCAAATCGGCATTCGTTCATTATCAGTAGTACTTTAATAGGTTATTTATCAGAAATCTCACATTTATAATACATTTAGAAGGCAAGTTGGTAATTCTGTTATAAAATCTTTAAATCCAAATATTAACAATTTGGGATTGGTAGTAAAGATTTTTTGGAGAGATTCTGGAAAAGTAGGATGTCACCTTTCACCTTAATTTTATTTTCTGTCCTCACTGTAATAGGGCTTGATCTCTTCTCTTGCCAGGAGATAGTGAAGATGACACTGTTTCAGTGAGTGATAGAGTAATCTCAGCATAACTTGCGACATGTGCATTAAGGTCCTGTTATCTTTTCGATATTCAAGTATTAAGTGATTTTTGTTATGATTAGGTGATTTTGTCACTAGGTAACGGTTTGGTACAGATGGTTAGAGTTTCATAGAAAATACAAAGAGAGATCTGATGTGGTCAGGAAATTAATATTTATCTTACAAAGCAAAAAAGTGAAAGGGATTTGGTTTAATTAAGTACTAAATCAAATTATAAATGATTACTTAAAATATCCTTACTGCTTTTTTTTTTAATA